AAGAATTATTCATATATGTTTTAGTGTGCTAGAGTGTAAAATTAATTAGGAGTGTGAGATTATGTTTCTTTTTATGTAAGTTTAAATATTTTCATACTTTTATTCTTTTTTCAATAAAATGTCTTACACTTTAGAATAGGTACCCAGTTTGTAAATTACAGCCATTCTGTCTATATGTCTTCATAAAAAATGATGGTGAACTTCAGTTTGTATTATACTCACATTTTGACCCAGTTTCTGTGGAATTAATATGTCTTTTCAATTTGGAGCTGTTTGGTATGCAAAGTAGGCTGAACATTTTCATAGGGAGTAACAAATCAATGACCTTTCTGGATTAAGTCAGTCTGGCAGCCTTATATTTTTTACGGTTTGAAAAGGCTATATTTGGTTGATCCTATCAGTTAGTAAAATAAGGAAATATATTTAAAACATTATCAAAAAAATCTAGCATTTTGCCTTGCACATAGTAGACGTAAAATGCATAGTTGTTGAATGTAATCGATTTGAAGCTTCCATCAGTTAAATTCAAAATGGATTTATTGAAACCATTTTCTTAATAGAATTTACTCTTTCTTCATGTATTTCACTATGATGTCTCATAATTAAAGAAAGCCATAAAGATGGATAACAAAAGTATTAAAACTTTTGAGATTTCTGGAGGTAAACAAAGATATCTTTCATATTTCCACCTAAACCTAATTTCCATTTCCACCTAAACCTTTCCACATAAGTGAAATATGTCAAGATTTGTGGCTTTCACATATTTACAGTTTTGCTATTTATTAATGACATTTAAAAATATTTATTTGAACAGTAATATAATTCTTATTATATAATGATTACATTTCCATATAATTTTAATTTTTTTTCCAAACCAAATTTCCAGCTGTTTGTGGTCAGGAGTATTACTTATTATTCTTCACAACCACAAGTAACTTTGGATGATGCTATGGCTAATAAAGTCTTTGAAATGTGTTAACCTCACTTGATTTATAAATGCTAAAGTAAATACAGGTAGAATATTTTAAAATTATAAGCACAAGCATTAATATTTGGCTCATAACTAAGAATGACATAACACAGTTTTTCAGTACTTTTTAATATAATTGAGCTATCAGAAATATTTAATAATAAATAATTATGCATTTCATTAAAGAGGACAAAAGTGGAAATGTGCAAATGATACAGAAGTATATTTGAAAATGTTGATGAAATTATAAAATCATTTCTTTGTGTCTTTTTAAAACTCTACAGGAAATTTCCATTTTATTACAGCAGCTAATTTTCAAATGTTCCATGCTTTCATACCAAATCCAGCCAATGTTGGTGATAGCTTATTTCCTTCCCCTTTGACTGCTGCAATGATTCAGACCTTTTCTGTTCAGTTTTAGTTTTATTACTATTTTCCTCCACTCGCCTATTCTTCACTACCACTATGTTACATCATGTTCAAAAGAATAGTGAAAACTGAGGTTACCTAATCTAAAGCAAACTTAGGCTGGAAGTAAGAGATTGCCACAATTTAGAAGCACTCCCTGGCTTTAGAAATAGAGCCTTCCCTTGTAAATCCTCACAGCTATGGGTGGTGTAGTCTATCACCATCTATAGTGTACTAAAGTCAGAATGTAATTACATGTATTTTAAAAAATGAGAACTGCTGACACACAACCAACTAGTTATTTCCTAGTAAAAACATATTAGTAGAATAAATTTATAGCCATACCCATAATACATACTGTTATACCTCTAGTAATTAATTTCTTAATAACTCTCTAAATATTTATGTTATTTTTTCTTATTATGCAATCTTCAGTTTTCTCAAGAGCTACCCTAATTTAAGCAGATATTTAAATAGAATCTTTCATTAATCTTGCTTTTCAGTTGTCTTGGGAACAATGTAATCACATTAGTAGGATATTTTCTTGTAGAAATGAAAAAAGAAAATACATTTGCTTCTAGAAATAAGAAAAAGTGTAGATTATATCTAAAGGACAACATACAAACTGGCTAATTGATTATAGATGATATATGGGCATATTAAGTGATAGAAAAATAGATGATAGATATTTCTATGCAGATGAATTTTATTATCGTAAACTTACTGGGCTTCTGTGCAGTTGTTTTAATTGCTGCAACATGTCTTCAGGTGGAATTTATCAAATATTACGTACATTGCAATAGTGATAGTATTTGAAAAGAAGTCTCTAGATCCTATGGCAATGAAGTGTCTATTCTAATAGAGCTCCTGACGTAAAGTTTTGCTTAGTAATGACCTGAATCACTTTTCAAAGTTTCCCTGTCTGAATAAGTGTTAATGATGTTTCAATTATCCTCTCAGAAAATCAACTCGTTATGCCTTAATATGATATCAAAAATTGAATTGTAGTTCTTTTGAGAAAATAAGGAGGTAGAAAATGTAACAGTTTTATTGCTTCTGAATGATATGGCTCCAGATTTTTACCTTCGCAGAGTTATATTGTTTGATTGAGAATATGATTCCAGTATCTGATGATTTAGGTCTAATCTAGTAGCTTTATACTTGCATTTCCCCAGAATCATGGTCTGTAAATTCTGAGGATACTGAAGCATCTTGAAATATGCTCATTGCTCAATGCACAGAATAATTTTTAAAAATGTATAATTTGTAAATTGCTACACATTTATAATTGCTATAAATTTATAAATTATAAATTTATATAATTTATATAATCTATATAATTTATATAAATTTATATAATCTATAATTTATAAATTTATAAGTTTAAAACTTATAAACTTAACATTTTCAAAATATATGTATTTACCAGGGTTTGGTCATGGGTTTTCATTTTCTTTCTGTCAACTGTGTCTCTCTAAGTAACTATCCAGTCCCACAACTCATACTATCATCTCTAGTGAACGCTCTCCAGGCTTTATGTCTCTTCTTACCTTCACATTTATTTAACTAGTTGTTTATTTCATTTCTCCTGTTGGGTCTCAAAGCATAATTATCTTATCATCCTTGTATTATTCTCCATCCTCCCCCTCCAGTCTTTCTCATATTAATTATCAGTGTCACATTGACTCCGTTGTTTAATCTCGCCTAGGAATTATCATTTATTCTCTTCCTCACAGTACCCACATTCTATCCATCAGCAAATCCTGTTATTTCTTTTCAAAATACTGCTTATTTGCTTTGCTACTACTCTTGCCCAAGATATCTTCCCTTTCTGGGAAAATGCAATAGTCTATTTAATGGTTTGTCTGTTTCAACTTTTTTCCCCCTAATTAGCCATTCTTCACACAGCTGCCAATGTGATCTTTTAAAATTCATGTCATTCCTCTGCTCAAAACCCTCCAATGGCTTCTCATTGCACTTTGAATAAATCAAAGCTCCACACTAGTCTATCCATGATCTAGTCACTGCCTCACTCTCCACTGCCTATCTCTTTTTCCTCACTGATTTTATTCTAACCACACTTGATGTTCTGCATTCCTGGAAAGCACTAAACTTATTTCCATCCTTAGAGTTTTGTGCCTGCTTTCTTCTTTTCTTGGCATTCTCTGCACTCTGATCGTCACATGTCTGGCTTTCTCTTTTCATTGAGGTCTGAGCTCAAGTGACATCTCAGAGAGAATTGCCCTGAGATCTAAATAATTACCTCAGTTCTCTCTATTTTATCTGCTGTATTATATGGTGTTTGGGGTATAGTACTCATCTCTACTTGAATTTATTTTACATGTATATTATTTTTATTTCCTTTAGGCATATACTGTATTAAGAGCAGTGACTTTTTCTACTCTTTTTTATCACTCTATTCCTATCCCCTAGAAGAATAATAGGAACATACTAGGTATTTCTTTTGGAATGGGAGGATAATATGAGAGAGAAAGAGAGAGAGAGAGAGAGAGAGAGAGGTTATGTACAATATAATACTGAAATGATTTACATGTAATCCACATTCATCCTAAACTGGTTTTGGATAAATAGTAATCTATAGGATTCTTGGACAAGAAAAAAATTATTTGGGCAAATGAGTTTGGAAGATCTGTTAGAGATTTATTAAGTTCATTAGCCTGTAAAATATTCTTTAGGGTTTTGCAGTAAAGATCCCTATTTAATGACATTTAATCAAATGATTCATAAAGCTATTTAGTCCTTGAAAATTTTTCTGCCTTTCAACATATATTACAACATTTAGAAATGCTGTTTTAAATTCACTCAGTATTCAATTTAGAAGAGAATTAATGTAACAAGAGGAAAACATACATTATAATTTTCTTCTAGAGTTGTTTAAAATAAAGCCCCCCAAAATAAGACACACACACACACACACACACACACACACACACACACACACACACACACACATATATATATATATATATTTGAGAGTTTTGGGTAAATTAGAAATAACTACATTGACACAAAAGTATGCTAAAGAGAAAATTTGGTATACAGCAGATAAGTAACCAAGTCCAACAATCCATAAAACAATAACAATAGCAAAAAGAAAAAAGACAAAATTGATACTTTTGAGTAGCTCCTGATGGAGAAGAGTAATATTGAGAAACTATTAATAGAAAATAATGCAGTCCAAAAAAATGATAATAATTATAAAACTCCTTTGTTAGACAGTCTCTAAAAGACTGGGGATAACATCAACATGAATATTATGGTTCTAGTCTAGGAAAGTGATGCAAAACCGGAAGTTTCAAGTTAAATTAAGAGAGCAATAAGGAGATTAAATGGAGAGTAATAAATCCATGAAATTTATATTTAACATAGTGTGAAGGAATAGACTTTAAACACTGCTTTTTAAAAAATCTAATTTTCAGATACATAAAATTTTAGCAATATCACTCTAGTGCTTTGAACTTTTATCATTTGACTATACTTTGCTTTACATCAAGAGCAAATACGTATATTTGAAAAGTTTACAATAGCTAGAGAATGTATTATAATTCCCAAATGGAAAAAAATGTATACTTGGATTCCTATATTTCTATATACCTATCCACAGAATCACTGTTATATTTTTAAACCTTATTCCTGGAAGAACTACAGATGTCAGATCAATTTAGAAAGCCAAAGAGTACCTCTGGGAATTAAATGGCAGTAATATAAACAATATTTGGCCAAGCTATCACTGTATGCCTACGATGCCAAAAATCACTGTTACCTGGCAGGTAGGTAACTATTATTTAATGATATGATTGATACTGGTTTCTCCACTGAAAAACTATTAACTCTTTATGCAGTAAAATGAAGCCCAGAGTTTAGATAGAGTATTTCTCTATTTTTATGCCAGTAATAGTGGGCTGGCACTTGTACCAACCACAAAGTGTTTCTCAAGCAAATTATTTGAAAGAAAACTCATATGTGATTTTATAACTCATTTAGAAAGAAAATGGAGAATATGCATTTAAGGAATAGTTTTGGCTACAAATTCTTAATATTCAGGACAATGTTCATACTCTGGACTATTTTACACATCTCTTTCTTTCTAATAGAAGCAGATTGGCCTGATTTTAGTGTTTACTGAAGAACATTTCAATTTTAAATGTTCATTTTGCAAGACAACTAATAAGATAATTAGTGTTGTAAATAATTTCCTCCATATGTTCACAATTCCTGGATCTCTGCTCTCTCAGTTTAAATGCTGGTCTCATGGTTGATGTTACTGTTCATAAAAAAAATAAACTTTGCTTTCATATTTCTTAGAATCTCAAATTGCTCAAATTTGCCCACGTGCCTGGAAATGCAGCATGTGTTTCTAAATTTAGAAGAGTTGGTAATATGTATAATCTCCTTCTCTGGTTGTAAATTGTTGTTCTCTTTATGAATAGTGCTCAATCGACTACGTTATATTTTAGAGTGAGAAAATCAGCTATTTGAAAGTGCTGGAATATTTTTCTATTGATTGATTAATTGATTGATTGACTGATTGATTTTTGAGACAGAGTCTCACTCTGTTGCCCAGGTTGGAGTGCAGTTGTATGATCTCAGCTCACTGCAACCTCCTCGTCCCAGGTTTAAGTGATTATCCTGCCTCAGCCTCCCGAGTAGCTGGGATTACAGGCTCACACCACCATTCCCAGCTAATTCTTATCTTTTTAGTAGAGATGGGATTTCGCCACTTTGGCCAGGCTGGTGTCAAACACTGACCTCAGCCTCCTAAAGTGCTGGGATTACAGGCATGAGCCACCACACCTTGCCAAAATTTTTCTACTTTATCATTAAAAAAACAGTTTGTACTCAAGATATTACTTGAAAATCATAAACAAATTATCCTGAAAAAGGTACCATATCAGTCTACTAATTTTAGTTTTGTAAGTCTCAAATGTAATCAAATAGACTCCTGAATTATATTCATACGTAATGAAAACAACATTAAATTTGACCTGTTTATGTCCATCCTCATCCATGTAGAATGCATGTGGTCAAGTCACTGCTCTTAAATTTAGTTCTTTGATCAATAATGTGAATCTAATAACACGTATCCATGAAATCATATTGTTTATCAAAAAAACAGATAATTATGTCTGTCACCATAATTGTCATTTTCACCAATACCAATTTTCCTTTTTATGATCATCAAATTTAATGCAGCCACGGATGAGTCCAAAACTCCCACACTCACAGACATACAGACACAACTGAACCTACTATTTATGAGGTTAGAAGGTAGAATTAAGAATTAATATACTACCAATTAGCAAATATAATTAAGATTCTTTTAAATCCATACTTGTACCTGACATAATTGTAAAATAGCTTTCTTGGACAAACAGAAGACACAGAAAGTATAGGTTTGGAAAGTGTACATGTTTAATTCAAGAAAAATAATTTATTGTGTAATTTATTGGATGCTTATAGTCTATTTCATGAACAATTGGAAATAAGACAAAAGGTTTTGGACAATTACAAGTAAATTGATGCTTTATATTAAAATTTCAACCCCAAATTAGGTTTTAGATAATATAGTTGCATCAGTTATAGAAACTGACAGAGAAATTAAATTTGCTAATTATAACAACTAGTACAAAATAAATTGCAATTTAAATATACAAAATGTTTTTGATATACAGTAAAGTTTATGCCATTTGTGATGACAATCCAATGAAAAACTAGATTATTAAATAATCCAGAGATTTTCTAACTAAATACACCAGATGCAGGGGTTTCTGTCAGATTCAGTGATCAACATTGTTGAGGGCAAACTTCCAAATCTAGGAGACAAAACAAAAGAAAAAAACACACACATCTGACCAAAAAAAAAAAAAAAAGGCATGTGAGTTCTTTATCATTCTTTATCAGTTCAGTTTTTGCATTTTTATTTTGTGTAAATTTTGCATTGGTTTTGTGTGTGTTTATACATCCTCAGCAAACACATAATATGCTGAAATACAGATAAATTTGAACAGTCAGTGTATATGTCCTTCATTCTTCCTTCCAGCTACTGAGGAAGCAAAGATTTTTTTTTTTTTTTTTCTGAGTATCTCTTTGGAATAGGCATTTGTCCATTTTCAATGGATAAAACTAAAAGTCAGCATTCAGTGTCTCAAAGTCCAGAAGGCAAAGCAGACTCAAAACAATAATTAAAATCTAGTATAATAAGAGCTACTACTACCACTACACACGCACATATAATTACACATGCACACATTATATATAGTGTGGGACAAAGAGAAGTATAATTTCATCTTTGCAATATGGACAAGAAAATCTTCACAGAGAAAAGAATATCACTTGAACTAGGTTTTGAAATCTAACAAGATAATTTCCAAGTACTTTAGGCAAGTGTTTACTCTGGGGAGCAGAAAAATCACATGCAAAGGCAAAGAGGAGGAACATATGATCAGAGATGAATGAAGAAGAACAAGCTAAATGGTTGAAGACAAAAGCAAAGACTAATTAATAAAATACTTTACAATTTTATGTAATGTGTTTGGTATTTAGACTATGGTTAGAAAACACCCCTGATTGAGGAAATTGATACCTTTGGATAACAAAATCTGATTTTCCTTTTTGAAAATTTGTGTGATAGCAGTAGGATTAATGAGTTGAGCGTTTGTAGAGAAGAGACAGGGATTGAACTAGGAGGTTACCACAGATTTTTACAAGATATGATGAAGGCCTACACTAAACCAGTGAGGTAAAGATGAAGAAGAAAATATTCTGAAAAACTTGGTAGGCTATAGTAAGTAAGTGTATGTGAAGTCAGCACAGGGAAGGAGAAGGAAGATCCCCAGATGGCTCTATGATTTCAGATTTGGATAGGATGAATTTTTTAGTCCAAATCAGAAAACTTATGAAAGTGAAAGGAGATTATAAAATAATCAAAACTTTGTAATATTGACATTTATTTATTAATGATTTTGTTGATTTTTATGCTGTTGAACATATAAAAAATCTTTTATTAAAAAACTATTTAAAAAATATTATTTTGTACAAATAAAATTATTTATGTAACAAAAAGGTATACCTGTGTACACCAAAGTGAAGCAAAACATTAAAAATTACTTTTAAAATTAGGTGGAAAGATTATTTTTGATTCATATTCATATGTTTTTGGCAATTAGCCATATCTGTCCCTAAAATCAAGTCACTAAAGAATGTATGTTCAGATGCTCCTCATAGTTTTCTTCATAGTTGCACTTTAAGGCTAATAAATTTGAAATAGTTTATTGATGCTATTGTTTCTATTGTTACAGTTCTACAGGCCAAAAATATATATTTTTAATTGATAAAATTCTTATATATTTTTCCTAAGGTTTCAGTAAGCTCAGGGTTAAGTCTACTAAATTAATTATATTCTTCATTCTATTTTTGTATTGAAATATTGAAAAATTTCAGTCTACACATTTTAACTGGCACTGTCTTTTTGCTTTTATTCAGAATAACTTTCTTCAACAAATACTTTTATGTAACAACACCCATAAAATAAGGTGATCCTATGGTTCTTTTATAAATCTTGACTAATTTAGATGCTGCAAAAACAAAGGGTTCAATTTCATTCTATTTGTGTAAAAAATATTAATTTATTCAATTTCTTAAAAAAGCACCTTTAGAACTTTCTCTCAGAAGACAAGTTATTCTGTAGATCAATTATAGATTTTGAAAAGTAAATTATGGGCCAGCACAGTATCTCACACTTGTAATCCCAATGCTTTGGGAGGCTGAGTAGGGAGGATTGCTTGAGCCAGGAGTTCTTGACTAGCAGGGCAACATAGTGACACCCCACCTCTTCAACAACAACAAACAACCACAAATTAGCTGGGCATGGTGGCACATGCCTATGAGTTCTTGCTAATACAGAGGCTGGGTGGGGAGGGTGGGAGAATCACCTGAGCTTAGAAGTTTGAGGTTACAGTGAGATATGATTGTGCCCCTACACTGTAGCCTGAGTGACAGAGGAAGACCCTGGCTCTAAAAAATAAATGAGTAAATAAATACATAAATAAATTATATACACTGAACTCTCATCATCAAATTTCCTATTTTTGTTTGTTTGTTTCTGTGGATGTTTTAGTCAATTCTGTAGATGTCTGCTATGACAAAAAAATAGACAGTGTCTTAAAAACAATAGAAATGTATTTTTCACAGTTCTAGAAGCTGGGAGTCTGAGATCAGAGTGCCAGCATAATTGGGCTCTGGTGAGGTTACAGACTCTCAACTCATTGAATCCTCACGACAAAAAAAATGCTAGAGAGCTCTCTGAAGTTTATTTTATAAGACACTAACTATTCATGAGGACTTCACCCTCATGACCTAAACACTTCCCCAAGGCCTATATCTTTTCATAACATTGCATTAGGGGTTAGATTTTCAACCTATAAATTCCGGGGGAACATAAGCATTCAGTTCATTACAATAGAGAAAAGTGTTATTCTTTTTTTTTTTTTTTTTTTTCCATTTAACTTCCTCGGAATTTAGTCTATGTATTCCATACATTTCCAATTAATATAAAACATGAATGTCATATTTTTTAAACCTTTAAGTTCAGGGGTAGATGGACAGGTTTTTTACATAGGTAAACTTGTGTCATGGAGGATTGTTGTAAACAGATTATTTTATTACCCGTATATTAAGGCTAGTACCCATTAGTAAGTTTTCCTTATCTTCTCCCTCCTTTCTCCCTCTACCCACGAAATGCAAATCAAAACAACAATAAGATACCATCTCACACCAGTCAGAATGCCTATTATTAAAAAGTCAGAAAATTGCAAATGCTGGTGAGGTTGTGGGGATAAAAGAACACTTTTACACAGTTGGTGGGAGTGTACATTAGTTCAACCATTGTGCAAGACAGCGCAGCAATTCCCCAAAGACCTAAAAACAGAAATACCATTTGACCCAACAATTCCATTACCGAGTAAATACTCAAAGAAGTATAAATTATTCTTTTATAAAGACACATGCATGTGTATGTTCATTGCAACACTATTCACAATAACAAATACATGGAATAAATGAAAATGCCCATCAATGATAGGCTGGATATAGAAAACGTGGTACACATACACCATGGAATACTATTCTATTTCCAGTTTTTAATTTCAATAATTTCAATTTTCTGTGTCAATGTTGACATTTTGGGGTAATTTTATTAGATTTCCAACATAAAAAAGTTTTTTAAAAGTAACTGAGTAAGAACTAGGTATGAGAGGCCTAGAAAAAAATTTAAATAAATGAGTAAATAAATAATAAATTTAGAAAAACCATTCACAACACATTTCAATCCCATAGTAGGACACTTAGATTGGCTTACAAGGTTGTTTAGTAAAGTTTAAACTACTTCTGTAATTTAACTGATGATAAGCAGCAAAGAGAGAAAGTGTAAAGCTTCATTTTAATGTGTATGTGTTTGTGTGTCTGTATAGAAGCTGTAGTATACAGCTTGGTATATTAGGCTGGTAAAATATTACAACTTGTTGTGATTTAATGGAATTAATTCCAAATATATTTATGTTTCATGCATTTCTTAATTCTCTATCGTGACTTTTGATCTGCAAATACATTTTTGTTGTTTTTAACCACAAAATTTGTGATAATTTGTTACAAAAGCAACAGGAAACTAATACACAAGTCAATTATAGGAATGGCATTATATTTTCTTGTTTGTCATCAATGTCTAAATAAATGCCATTAGAAACATAAATTCAGAAAAACATAAAACAGAGTGCAAAAAATAAAATATAAAGCATTTATATTTTTATTTCCCTAAAAGTATATCATTTCAGTCTTCAAGGTTGAAATTCTAACTATTCAGAATAATGTTCAATAATTCTCCCATGTTTTACCATAGAAAAGTTAATTTCTAAAAGTTTGAGTCCATGAGTTACATGAAAATATAATTACTATTGTGCTTAATAAAACTTTGTATTTGAAATAACTGTTGAGACTAATTTGAACCACACATCATTTAACTGTTTGCAAAGTTTTTTTGAAAATAGCCCTACTCCATAAACAGTTGTCCCTATACTGTTTTCATGCACACAAGAAAACCTGAGATTGAAAAAGAAGGAAAATAATTTTGAGTAGTCATTTATTCTAAATGAAAAGTCACATTTCAGTGAAACCTGTTTTCCATGACTATATGAATTAAACCAACATCTATTAATACTGACATGGTTTTCCCTTTAAAAGTACTAATCGTTAAACTCATGCTGATATTTTTTTTCTGAAGATTTATTACCTACTTTTATGGGGTTTGTAATATTTATATGGCCCCACATATGCTAGATGAGAAATATCAAGAAATACTTTGTGCAAGTTTTATGTTCATTGTCAATTGTTATTACTGAATTTTTTATTAAACACCTATTCTTTAGAATTAAATATTTTTGGTTCATTGTTGCTAAAAAGAGTTTATCGCAAAATGACTGGGCAAACAATCAATGAAACAAATTAGTAGTCAATATTCATCATAAATATATGATATCATCTTCAGCCTCTATTTCTTATACATATTTCATGTACATATACTTTCCTACGTTCCATATAGCCCTTACTAAGTGGAGGCTTAGCAATTTGAAACTCACAGGCTATGGGACAAGGCAGACACACCTGGCTGAGACATGTTATTTTTCGTCTTTTTAATAATGACTATTCCAACTGGTGTAAATTTATTTCTCGTTGTAATTTTAATTTGCCTTTATCTGTTGCTTAGCAATGTTGAGCATTTATTTTTATGACTGTGGAACAAATAGGTGTCAATGCACAGGAGATATTTGAAAACACTAATTTGCAGTGCAGGGGAGTTCTGAAATACGGAAATATAAATTTTAAAATTTTCAGCATATGGGCAGTCAATGAAACCACTTGAGATGAAAGATCTGGCAAGGCATTTTCAGCATTAATATTTGTTGAACACGTTATTGGCAGTTTCTAGAGATAGGATGAATCGCATTTGTTTAGACATTGATGATAAACAAGAAAATATAATGTCATTACTGTAATTGACTTGTGTATTAGTTTCTTGTTGCTGCTGTAACAAATTATCACAACTTTGTGGTTCAAAACAACAGAAATGTATTTTGCATGCTCAAAATATTGTCCAAAGTATGTACCACTGGGTTTAAATCAAGATGGCTACATTCTGTCTGGAGGCTCAAAGGGAGATTTTGTTCCTTTCCTCTCTCAACTTCTAATGGCTGCAGACATTCTTTGGCTCAAAGCTGTGTCACTCTCGTCATGGCTTTGGTCATCACATTGCCTTCTTTTTTTCTTCCTCTGCCGTAAAATATCCCTCTACTTCCCTTTTATAAGAATGCATGTGATTCCATTTAGGGTCTACTCTGTTAATCCATGATAATGTCTCCAACTCAAGATCTTTAATGTAATCACATCTATATAACCTTTTGCTGTCAGATAAAATAACATTCACAGGTTCCAGAAATTAGGGCATGGATATCTTTTTGGGGGGATTGGGGAGGTTGGTTATTATCAGTGTACTATGATTTTATCTTTCTAATCTATATCAAGATAGGAATTTTTTATCCTATCTCTATCATCACTCCCTTGAAATGTAGGAATTCAGAGAAATATAAATGTGCTATTTTTTTAAGAGTTGGGATCTCACTATGTTGCCCAGATTAGAGTGCAGTGGCTTTTCACAGGTGTGATCGTAGTGCACTACTGCCTCAAACTGGCAAGTCATCATCCTTCCTCAGCCTCCTGTAGCTGGGATTTCAGGCATGCACCACTGTGCCTGGCTAAACACACTCTTTTGTCAAGTATAAAACTGTGCTATTCATTAGAGTAGCCACTAGCCACCTGGAGCAACTGAGCAATTAAAATGCAGCTAGTCAGAAATGAGATATACCGTAAGTACGAAATATACATCACACTTTAAGACTTGGTGCAAGACATACAATGTAAAATATCTCAACTTTTTGATTAATTAAATGACTTTTTGATATATTGTATTAAATAAATTATTGAAGTTAATTTTACTTTTTTCAATATGGCTACTAAAAAGTTTAAAATTACATATGAAATTCACATTATATTTCAACTAGACAGCACTAGTCTAGAATGTGTATGTTTAAATTTTTTCATTATATAGAGAAATTGTTTCTTTATAAATAATTAAAATTCCTGAAAGTTGCACACCAAGTTAATTAAATGCTGATCTTTAAAAACTGTATGGCTGTACCTTGCTCTTTTGTAATCCATATTCATTCAAACTATGAACTTCTGCTTTTCTCCATTTTACAGCAACAAACCAGCAGGACTTCCTGTGAAATCATGACCCCCATGTGCTCTTTCAGCCCCCATCAATTCGTACCTCTAAGCACCTGAGAGCCAAAGTAAACCACAGGAAACCACAGGTACTAACTATTTTAGACCTGATGAAGTGTCTCCCAAACACAATCTGGCATGGTGAGTACCAGAGTAACTGGCAGTCTTTTAGAATGGAGAGAAAATAAGAAATTGGGAAAAGTTTGGCATTTGCTTTCAACAGAGATCAGATTCTGACCTCTGAAAAGAAGAAATAAAGAAAAATGTTTATGATGGGGAGGGATCCAAGGGTAACTTGTGGGAAAGGAAGAAGCTTCCAGAAAAGGAGGTTTGAGATCTGAGAAGAGACTTGTGTATGTCTGAGGGAAGAGTTGGAGACAGGTAACCAGGGGAGAAAATCTGGGAAGTTTTGAGCAGTGAAGGTCTGATGAGATGGAAAAGGAGAAAGGACACTAATATTTATTAGGCCTCTACTGTGTGTTAGGTACCTGCACATAGGTTATTCAAATACACGTACGGTATTCATTTTTGCAGGCAAAAATTGAGGTACAGAAAAATAAAATTATTTTGCTAAGGACACACAACTATTCGAGATCAAAGGTAAATTTATAATCCATTGATTAGTGGGTGGATATCCTTTTAGAGTGTTAAAGATAGATTAAAGTGTGAAACTGCAAGGGTGAAAAATGGGCACACGACTTTGAGTAATTTGAGAAAAGTTGAGTCATTTCAATGATAGTCTGTGTGTAATCTGGGTTGGAAAAGTGAAAGCAGGGGGAAGCAGGGCAGGGAATTGTTTGTACTTGGAACTGTCCATGATAACTGTGGGAATACTAACACACTGAAAGCCCCCGGAAGAAATGACATATTGGTTGGCCTTGTAACTAGGCAAAGTTTTGAACTTGACCAGTTCCTTAGCATCCCACTATAGTTCTATAGGTCAAAGCATAGACCTTTGGAGTTTTATATATTTGCCCATAAAAAATGTCAGCATATTTGAACTTCAGCCTCTCACAGATCTGATGGAAACCTACTCAACAGAGATCGGTTCAAGTTTTAGTAAGTTCATCTCTAAAACTGAAGATAACATGAATCACCTTGCCTTCAGAATTTCTAGCTCCGTAATTTGCAACTTATACTATTCCTTCTAGAAATTATTTCATTCTCATTTCTCCTAGAACCTTCAAGTGTTCAAACACCTATTCTTCAAATATTCACATTTTCTTCACTTCAGTAGACTCTTCCAACCATGGGCTATAAGATAAATTATTTTATTGATGCCCTTCCCTAGTACACTATTGAACTCTAATCACTTAAGCGTTCCATCTATGAGTACATGAACATAGTGGCTGCTGGTGGGAGGCTGAGAGAGTAACCACTGGTGGGAAGTTGGTGATGGTAGTGGGGAAAAACGAAAAACGTCTTACACTCTAACAGGCTTGGCTCACCATCATTTACAAAGTCCTAGTATAACTTTTATTCTTGCTGCTCTTTGGCAGGCTTTTTACATTAACTACTCTGGGTGTTTCCTATTCTGATTTATTCTCTCTCTCTCTCTCTCTCTTTTCTCTCTTTCTTTCTTTTTTCTTTTTTTTTTTCTTTTGACAGAGTTTTGCTCTGTCACCCAGGCTGGAGGGGAGTGGCGCGATCTCGGCTCACTGCAAGCTCCACTTCCCAGGTTCAAGCCATTCTCCTGCCTCAGCCTCCCGAGTAGCTGGGACTACAGGCACCCACCACCACGCCTGGCTAATTTTTGGTATTTTTAGTAGAGACGGGGTTTCACGTGTTAGCCAGGATGGTCATGATCTCCTGACCTCATGATCTGCCTGCCTTGGCCTCCCGAAGTGGTGGGATTATAGGAGTGAGCCACCGCGCCCAGCCTATCCTTCTTTCTTCTAGCTGTTAATCTTGCTTTTCATTTAGCCAAAATCAAGACACTTGGCCCAGGCTTTCTCATTTTCACCTCATTTTCATCAACCACTATCTCTACATGAAGATCTTTTCATCTTTCTCAATGTTTGTGGAAAAGAAAACACTCAAACCCCTTTTTGTTTTCCTAAAAAGGTAATTGTTATTATTTACCTTTCTTCTATCATCTTTAATTCTTTCTTTCTGTTGACTCTTCTTTCCATGTCTGATGATGGTTAACTGTTTTTTAAGCTTTGGTAAATCAACAGGAGAAATAATGCATTTTTCTTTAAATTAGCCTTTCTTGAGTTAGGCGATTGAATATTTAAATGTTTAGCAGTCATTTCGTTTTTTACCCAGTGAATTGTCTTTTGAAATTTCATGCTTCTCTTCCTAATTATAAATTAGATAAATTTTGCAATTTTTTTGTTTTGAACTTGATTATGAATTAATGTTAAGCATTTGTCTGTAATATTTGTGACAAATATTTTTCTGTTTCTTGCCTCTTAGTAATGTTTAAAAAATGTTAGATTTTTAAAAGTTTAGTTATATTTGTCACACTTGTCACCATTTCCCATTGTGATATCTTTAAGCGCTTATATACTTAGAATGTCATTTGCTGTCTGTATTTCAGATTAGGATATACAGGCATTCAGTGTTTACAGTTAGGTATACATTCTGAGAAAGGCATGGGTAAATTATTTTGTTATGCAGGCACGATAGAGTCCACATACACAAACTTAGGTGTTGTAGCCTGCAACACACCTAGGCTATATGGTATAGCTTATTACTCCTAGTCTACAAACCTATACAGCATGTTACTATAATGGATACTGTAGACAATTGTAACACAACATATTGTAGTATCATATATGACATTTTATGGTGTCATATATGGAGTTTGTTGTTGACTAAAATATCACTCTTTAACACATGACTATACTTTTACGTTATTTCTATTTTTATTATTTTAAAGTTTTGAATGAATGCGTATTTCTTTTACCCTTTCTCATAATATTATCAAATTATCTTAGATCATGATAATTGAAGTCTTGAAATCTTCTTTGACTTGTCTAGCTTAATTCATATGCCATATCATTAATTTAGAAACTATAATCTTCAAAAATTAAATCAAATTTGAGCTGAGTCATTCCATTAGATAATAGTCATAGTAAAGATAAGGATTATGTCATAATTATATCCTCAGCACATAGTATAATCCTTGATGTATTATTTATTATTGTATGTAATACAATAATAAACTTTCAATAAATGTTTGCTGAATTGGATTACAAAATTAGGTTATCACATTAAATCAATGTCATGGCAATTATTTTGTGTATATAATGCAATGCAACGTCTTCCTGAAACTATGCTTTTAACCAAGTCAACTTGTATATCATTCACTTGTCCTCATTCCTTACTTTTATATTCTTTCTTCTTTCTATCCAGCTTCAGACAATGTTGGCATAGTCTCTTTTCTGTTTCTCATTTTAGAATTCAGTTGCCTAATTGAAAGGGGAAATATTTATCTAATGACTCTTCTTTCTGACCACTTTGGGCAACCAATCATCTTCAGTCCCTAAGACTCCCTGTCTGCATGGGATTTTCTATAAAACTGGCTCTATGCATTTATAAATATGGCAGTTCTATTTCCCCATAAGTCTCTACACTTTGAATTTTCTGACATTAGCTGCAGTAAGGAAAACTCAAAAGAAATGGTTGTCTGAATAATTGCTTATTGAGCATAGATTTTATTATATGACAATCATTTAAATAGTGCTAGTTCAAGCAAAGACCAGAAGGGGTTTAAAGATTCCTAATAGGAAATCCTTAAGCAGACTTCATTTGCTAAAGAGTGAAACTTTATAGTTAATACATAAACTGTAAAAAATTAAAAAGGAAAGGATGTCTTTGGAAGAAAAACAAACACATGTCCTGGTATTATTTTTTTTAATATTGGAAAACAGCTTCCTATGTAGTCAGATGATCCAGTTTTCTAAGAGTATGTAGGTTGAGTTTATAATTTAAAATTTCCTGAAGCAAATATAAAGAATGGAGATGAAAAACATACAGTCAGAATGGAAGAAACTGAACAACAAGAAAGTAACATGAACATATAGATAAACTTAAGTACCAGGTATTGCCTTCTATAGTTTTTTTTTTTTTTTTTTTTTTAGAAATAGACTTCAGAAAACATAGGTGCATTTGTTAACGCTACTGAGAAGAAAAATAATGGGTTAGAAATTAAAACTGTTTTGGTAAGCCATAAAACAAGATGCGTAGAAAGAACTGGGAGTATGAGACCTCAATGTTTTGTCTAAGGCCATCCCTATTCATTTTCATCCATAAGCCAGGCAAATAAAAGCAGTATAGAAGTATATCTAACCCTGTATAACCCTGAGTTGACATTTTTGTAGGAACCATGCTTGTTTATAGTTTCTGTATTTAGTAAGAATGTTATAGTTGTATAACATCTCTCTATGGCTCTTTGAAAATAATAGTAACCACCATTTATTACACACTCACTGCATGTCAGATACTGTGCTAGTTTCCTAAACCAGGTTTCATTTTATCTTCACAGAAATCTTATGATATAATACAAGTATATATTTTACAGATGAGGAGACTGAGGTTTAAGTATCTCAGCTGACGGCTGAAGATCACATAAATATAAATGACAGAGCTGGGTACTCAACTTAAGAAATATGATTTTGGAACCTACTACTATAAAACAAAACCCAATTATCAAGACCTGTAAGATCCAACTTCTAAAATTAGTAACATCAAAATTACTGGGTATGTTAAGAATATTTGTGTTTATAGGTTTAAGAACTTATTCTTTCTGCCACAGATTTAATAATTACACTTATAAGATATATTACATATTTGTTTGCATTAGTAAGTGGTATAATAATAATAATTTATACTTTTCTGATGACTCTGCATTTGAAGATCGTCAGTGAAAATGATGGAAGAGGCCGGGTGCAATAGCTCACACCTGTAATGCCAGCACTTTGGGAAGTCCAGGCGGGCAGATCACATGCGGTCAAGAGTTCAAAACCAGCATGGCCAACAAGGCGAAACCCCGTCCCTACTAAAAATACAAAAATTAGCCAGGCCTGGTGGTGCATGCCTGTAATGCCAGCTATTCACAAGGCTGAGGCAGGAGAATCGCTTG